CCCATACAGCCTTTTTAAGACGTCGTCTTAAATGTAACTTTGATACGTAAGAGATTATTGCTTTAAAAAAAGCAGCTAGGAGGCTATTTCAATAGAAACCTAAAGCCCTAAGCCCACAGTAAACTAAAGTTGAATGAACTAAAACATACGTACATACACAACTGAGGTGTGAGGTCACACCACTTCAGTTGGAAATTAAATGTAAGTCATTTCAATTGCTTTTCTGAGTAGTGAAATCTAGTTAAGACTAGATACTGTCCTATATACAGTGGTTTACTGTTTTGCTTTTGTGGTAAGGTTTTATACTGTTTTCCAGGCAACGAGGCAACATTTTGTTGATCTCTGTTTCACCTTTTAATTGCTTTTAAATACAGAGAAGACGAGCTAGTGGGGCCAGGCTCTGAATTTTCTACTTGCCAAAATAACAGGTAGAGATAGATAGGGCCTAAGTTATTATGTAAAAAAAACCCCAAAAAACAACAAAAAAGCTATACAGCTCTACCAAAAAAATATCAGCAGCATACACACAAGTAAACAACAGAATACCTTAAAACATGTAAGTTGACACATCACAGCTCTGCTTCTGTGTTTAAACTAGCAGAAATATGACCAGCAGGAAAAGAACCCTAACTATTTAGTTGTTTAATGAGACTAAATCTTGTCCCCAAAGGGCAGTTAACAGTATTTATGGAGACCTCTGACAACAGATACACCCACACTCTCTGCACTACAGAGCAGCACCAGTCGTTACCCCCACACGTTGCCACTGCTTCACTCCTCCCTCTGTGTATACAAAACACACACTGCCTGGATGTTTTCAGGTTTGTTTTCACTTCCTCTATGAAAAGGGAGCTCTGTCCAAAAAAGCTCCAAGAGGACCATTTTCTTGTGGCCATCTATCCAGTCCCTAGCGTGCATCTCATTTATCTCACCAAGTGGCATGCTTATTACAGAATCTACAGCTTGTGATGTTACACCCAAATGGAACAAGACTTGCTCATTTTAACAGTCAAGAAACGCAAGGGTGTGATTCAAGCAACAATATACGTGCAAGAGATGCACTAGAAGTGAATTACAGGGAATAATGTCCTTAAGCACTGGGAAAAGGTTCAAGCTACAGTCCCTATTTCGTGTCATTTTTTCCCCTCACTATTTTACCAACCTCTGGCTGTTGCGATGCACCCTTACACATACACACTACACGAATGACAACACAAGCACATCATTTCTGATTCACGTAAAGGAAAAAAAAATAAATGTCAACATTGGCCACATACAGGTGTATCAGCTGTGCTGTACAAATCCACACAGTAATTAGTTCACGTGAGAGAAACCTAAAATCCTAACAAGGCACGTAAGGATATTTCACTATAAAAAAAAAAAAAAAGGAACTTCGCTTTTTAAACGCCAAGAAGGATCCAAAGGGAATTATCGCGATCACCTGCAGCGCTGCCGAGAGAAACTTGCCACACAAGCCCGACAACAGAGTAACTTAAGAATGTGCAATGCTAAATCATACTGATCGCAGCAGAAATCGCATTGGGCTGCGTGTTTGCAGCGAGTCACCACCAGACTTTATCCCGCAGCTTTAAAGGGGCATTTCACACCCACGGGCGCGAATAAGAACCGCACGCCGTGTCCTACGCGCACCTCGCGGGCGCTGTGCCTGGCACGCAACAGCCTCCCGCAGCGGCCGGGCCCCGCACTCCCGAGGAGGCTCCGCAGCAGCAGCAGCA